ACACATCCAGTGAACAGCTCTGAGAGAGTGCAACCAATTTAAGGGGGAGAGGCACTTTGTAAATATTAAATGTAGTAAAAATTCCTTTAGAGGAAGAGAAATGGATTGAAACAACATAATAGTTATTATAAAAATAAAGACGGTATTGGCCTGAGCAAGAGTAAGACTAGGTCTCTACACAAAACAGAAAAATTAGCCAGGCACAGTAGTGCACAGCTATAATCCCAGCTACTAAGGAGGCTAAGGCAAGAGAAGTGCTGGAGTCCAGGAGTTTGCAGTAAGCTATGATAACACTATTGTCCCCTAGCCAATGAGTGACAGCAAGACCTTGTCTCAAATAAATAAATAAACAAACAAATTGGATTCTTTCTAGAGAAGACCATCTGAAGACTACAGAAAAGACCATCCTACCAAAAACAAAAAGCAATCTTTGTTGTTAAAACAGAAAGATGAGGTATAGTGAAGTTACCTAATTTGTCCAAGTTTGTGCCCAGGAAAACTAGTCCTACAGTCCACACTCTTTACATTACACTATATGCAAGGAGCTCGCAAGCCAAGAGTAAGCAGAAAAACCTGGGAAAAGACAGTCATGGTTATTATGGCAGTTTATTTTTTTTCATGTGTTCACAGTTGTAGTTTTATACATAAATATATGCACTCTTTGTTAGGCACTGGATATCTCTGATACCAGGATATATTTCACAGTCAGTAGTAATTAGGATTCACTTAAATACAGTAGTATGTAAAATAGAGTTAAACGCTTTACAGGACCAGGTAACAGTTTCCAAACTATACTCCACAGAGCTCTGGAGGTCATCTCGGAGAAAGAAGAGTAGGAGGCCAAACACAAGCCTAGGAGGTTCCTAATTCAACAAAGCAAGTTTCATTTTTATCTTGTCCCTTTTTAGAAGGGAGCATTCATACATGCTTAATCAAGAAAAAGATTTCATGGATTAAGGAAAATGCTTTACCAGCCTGAGCAAGAGCGAGATCCTGTCTCTAAAAATAGCCGGGTGTTGTGGCGGGCACCTGTAGTCCCATCTACTCAGGATGCTGAGGCAAGAGAATCACTTGAGCCCAAGAGTTTGAGGTTGCTGTGAGCTATGACGCCACGACATTCTACCGAGGGTGACAAAGTGAGACTGTCTCAAAAAAAAAAAAAAAAAGGAAAGAAAGAAAAAGAAAAATGCTTGAAAACTACAAAATCAGATGAATTATTAATATCCCTTATAGATATCAGATTCCACAAAGTCCCAAGAAACAACAGACTAAAAAACCAAAAAAGACTTAAAATTCTGCATTGTTCCTAAACCAAATATACATGGGTCTTCAAAAAGTGCATGGAAACTGCATGCTATGAAAAAAAACTATGCATGAATTTTGAAATTTTTTTGCACCAAAGAAACTCATCCTAACTTGTTATAACATGTTGGAACAGGATCTAGTTCAATCTGGAAAAAACTTCTATCAGAGCACATGAATTCTGCTAAAATTAAAGCAAGAACAAACATCAATTTTATGGTGAAGTTTGGGTGAAAAAACTGTAAAATCACTGATGCTTCAGGAAAAGTTTATAGGAGCTGGGCATAGTAGTGCACTGCTCTAATCCTGGGTACTTAGGAGGCTTTAGTGAGAGGATCTCTTGAGCCCAGGAGTTTAAAGCCAGCCTTGGCAACATATGAAGACTCCATCTCAAATAAAAGAAAAAAGTTTATGAGGGCAATGTTCCAAAGCAATCAGAAGTTTACAAATGTGTAATTCATTTTAAGAGATGAGATGGGCTCGGCGCCTGTGGCTCAAGGGGCTAAGGTGCCAGCCACATACACCTAAGGTGGCAGGTTTGAATCCAGCCTGG